CTAGAACCCAAAACTTAAGTTGATTAAAAAATTCTGCAAAGTTGATAATTATGTGTAAAATATGTAAAATTATGTATTTATATTTCTTTGAAAAAGTTTAAAACCGTTTTCATTTTAATGTAAATCAGAAAGTTAAAGCAAAATTAAATTTTGGTTTTAGTGGTAAGTTCTTTTGTAAAACAGGCCCCAGGACAGAAAAAAAAGAATCCAAAATAAAACAGGTGTGGCAGGCTCTGTGGTGTATTTTATTTCTAGTTCTCTTAGTTATATATCGAGTCAAGGTATGAATTGAAGTAAGTACAAGAACGAAATAGCTAGGATCATCTTCCCTTGAGGAGTGAGCATTTCCTGCCAAACAGTCGCAACCGCCGTGTGCCCATTGTCATGATAGGCGAACAGAATGATATATTGATTGATTGTATTCTGTATAATGTCCCTCTCTAGAATATTTCACTGATACGTCACCATTGCCGGTGAAGGGCTGCAAATTTATGCCTATGCTCGGCACTTACGGCCTTTGAGCAGGGAGGGATCTTTATCGTGCCACACCTGCTGTGACACGGGGCCTCAGTTTATACGGTCTCATCCGAAGGACCGCCCTATTTAATCGTCTTTTACGACAAGCAAGGGGGTACTGAGGACCTATTCTAACCCGAATCCCCACGGGGCGCGAACAGAATGAAAAATCGGTCTGACAATGCAGTGTATAAATAATGGTTTAATAATGAAATTATTAAAATTATCACCCATCATTTAAACTAGTGATAATTTGTATTTGCTGACAAGGCCATTGTATCGACCATAGAACTTGATGATTTTAAACACTGAAATGATTTGTGATTTTAAAAGATTGAATCTTTACAAAGTTAACAGCTTGCATTTCCAGACGTAGAGGTAAATTTAAGTTCTTATAAAATACAGTTAGAATAATATAAATGATAGTCTCGTCTGCTTGAACCATAACATATTGGTCATGAAGTATCCATTATTCTTTAATAAATTCTAATTTAGAAAAAAAGAGGAAAAAATTAGATGGTTTTCATACTGCATTTGTACCAAAACAAAGTTAAAAACACTTTAAAGAGGCTGGGGGAGGAAGCCATGTTCAGACTATTTCGATATTCTTTAAAAAAAGAGCTCCATATAAAGATATACAATATGATCAAATTTTAAAACTAAAATGCACTAATTTTTTCTATGCCAAATGATAGATGACAGCTTAAGATACCATATCTAAAGAAATAAGTTAAATCTGGCGGTTAATTTGTGGTTTATATGATGACCCTCCAGCCTCCTTAATATCTTTGTAATGAATGTTTTCTTATAACTTTTCATAAATTTATTGATTTCAGATGAAGTTCACCATTTATGGAATTATCGTCATTTTTCCAGTGCTAAATAACGTAATTTGTCTAAAGGGTAAGTTATCTGTTCCGTATAAAAAAAAAATCATTGAAAAACAATTTGAAACGTTCAAAATTTATAATATTAGATTTATTAGATTCACATGAAAAAAATAGTGACCAAATATATTTAAAAATTACTTCTGTAATATTATATTTTATTTTCATTCTTTGCATTTAAAGAAACCATTCCTCTATCTTATCTAGCAATCTAAAGTTTCGAATTAGCATCATGCACACGTAACACAGCCGACCATTAATCGTAACAATCATCCAGCAATTTGAAACATCTATTTGGCAATTTAGTACATCCAGAAACTTAAAACAGCCACTCAGTAACCTAACTTAAGATTCGTCAATCTTTAAAAAATTCCATTAATTTCACACAGGCATCTAGAATTCTTAAACAGACTTTAAGCGACTAAAATACAAACAGTTATCAAGGAATCCTACTTTGTCATTCAGTAAATTTATGACTAACACACCCAATTAATCTATTCAATTAAATACCGATATCCAACTATCTAAATCATCCAGCATTTCCAAACAACCAAATAGCAATGTATGATAGCCAGTCAGCAATCTAACACAGCCTTCCTTGATTCATACATAAATTTAAGCTCCTTATTAAAGTCATATACGCTGTATGAACGCCGAATTTTGTGTGAAACAAAATGATTAATGATTTAAAACACATGAAGTGTAATGAAAAAAAAAATACTTTCCACAAAATTGTACTATAGATGTCGTTGTAATAACAAAACAATTAAACATATCTAGGAATTAAGAATTCAGTCTTTTCATGAATATTGATGAAGGAAGTGCGTAAACAGTAGGCCTGTATATAGACACGCATGTCCACAGACGAGGTAATGTTGCATTTTGACAACAATTATAATAAAAGGTTAATATGCGTCATAACGGAGTAGATGGTTGATACTGAATACATTAAAAGATAAGTACCATTAAGAGTAAGACGCTTGCCATCCACGTCAAAAGTGAGTAGTATCTCAAACGGCCTACCTTGTTTTCTTTACACCACGTGTGTTTATCAATCTAAAAGTAGCGACGGCGTCACGTGATGGATTTATTTAAAAATAGCTATTTTTCTTTCCTTGCAGGATAATAAATAATTATAATTTGATAACTTTGTAACGCGTTTAATTTTAATGGTGTAATTTACAGTATTTTCGTAACTTTTATTGATAAACAAATGATATCAATTTCCAATCGTATTTTAACTGGCGCAAGTTATAGCGTGTATACTTTTAAGCTTTCACTTTTATAAAAAAATATATTTTAATGTAATTTTAGAAATTCTAAATAGTGTTACAATCTTATTAATAATTTGATTTATTTTCATCTGATTCAATGCTTCTTACAGCATTTTCGTATTCGTAAATTAAACATACTTAACCACAGCATAATTAAACGTATACGAATAATTTATATTTTACAATTACTTGATAACAAAAAAGCATGAAATTTTTCCCCAGAATTCGATCCAAAGTGTAGGTACACGGTCCACCTACCTGAGGCTTCATGGCACACAGCATACGATGTTTGTCAAGAGAGAAACAAGACTCTAGCCAACATTTCAGTCCTCGCTGATTTGTACATGGTGGACCTAGTATTAAAGGAAGTTGATGAATTCTTGAAATTTGAGGATGACATATTAAGCAGGTAAGGAAATACAATTTAATCACAATTATAAATATATTCAGCAGGCGAGGTTTAATCAAGGGAATGTTTTGCACCTGCTTTTGCAATTTTGTCGACACATATCCACAATTGGAGTGTTTGAAAGTCTTATTTTTACCAAATTGAAACCCACCGATATGTTATCCGCTATTCCCGCGAATTGTCACAGACTACATACTCATTTTATTTTGTAACTGAATTCTGTTGGTTTGATCTCATATTCCGTACCGTACCATGCTGAATAAATATGAAGTGAATAAATATGTAATGAATTATTTTCGGCCGAAAAAATGTAGCGGTAATGATCGATCGAAAATGTGAAAAAATGTAACGGTAATGAGTTGAAATTCTGTGGGATGTAGCGGTAATGTTGACCTTCTGTGTGGTTACAAGTATGCAATTTAATTCTGTGTTTTATTTACATGTAGCAGGTAAGGTATTGTATCGTTAACGATATTCCAGAACTTTTAGAGTCGGTCATTATTTTTCATTGTTTATAGTCAACGGAAGTTGTTTTGTTAACCTCGTGGATAGACGATCCTATGTTGAAATGTTTGTGAAGCCCAAGGAAACAATTCTGAACACTGAAAGACTTTTAAGCTGTGGAGGATTTCATGTAAAACATAGGATTGTTTCTGGTGATCAAGATGACCACTTTGCAGGACTGAATGTGTTATGTGCCGAGCAGGAAAACATTCTTAGAATGACTTGGTTACCCAAAGATGATGTCTGGATGTTCAAGGCAAAACTGATGAACTTTTCGCCAAAAAGACGTGGAAAGCACACAGAGGATGATATCGAGGATGGACAATTACATCTTATTCCGGACAGTCTAACTCGCAGGATGGTTCTAAGTCAGGTTGCAGACATATATGATCCTCTTGGACTGGTTGCTCCATATGTATTGTCTGCAAAAATTCTAATGAGGACCATGTGTTCCAAAGAAAATCAAATTAGATGGGGTGAGCCTATGAATGAAGATATGAGGGCCAAGTGGGATCAGTTCTTTACAGGATATGATTTGCAGAATTTAACATTCAAAAGATGCCTTATGCCGGAAAACACAGAAGGTATCCAATGCTTGTTATATTTTTGGATGGAAGTCAGCAAGCCTAGGCATGTGCCTATATCAGATGACATACCAAAGATGACAAATACATATCGAGCCTAGTGATAGCAAAGAATCGAATTGCACCAGCAAAGCAGTTGTCTACCCCTCGTCTTTAAATCTGTCGAGCAGTGCTTGCGTCTAGGCTGCATCAAAAACTAGTAACAGAAATGAATTTCAAAGTCAATAAGATTGTGCATATTGTCGACTCCATGATTGTAAGAGCGCAAATACAGCGAGAGAGTTATCTCTTTGGGACATTTGTGGCAACTCGTGTTGTTGAAATACAAAGCACATCTGATACCTTTGAGTGGTGGTGGGCTCAAGGAGATCAGAACCCTGCCGACATGACTACAAGGGTTGCAGTAGCAAGTGCTTTAGGGACTGACTGTAAGTGGCAAAACGGGCCAAATTTTCTGAGAACTCCATTTGAATTTTGGCCAGTAAGTCAAGAAAATACCATAGACAGCGATTTGATACCTGATATTATTGGGGTGACGATGTCAATCACTTCTGAGAATCGTTCTTCCCATGGATGTGCTGTAATAGACATAGAGCGGTTTGCCAGTCTGAAGAAGCTTCTTCGAGTTACCAGCATGGTTTTAGCCATTGTGAAATGGAAAACATTTTGAGGTATTTGTAGCAAGATCACTTCAGGGACATCTGTTGAAGCAGAAAGGAGTTGGGTTAAGCACGCACAGGAAAAGTTACCAGATGATTGCATGAAGAAGTTTCAAAGACTTGGGCCATTCATCAATCAAGATGGGATTGTTTGCGTTTGACAGCGCATGGCTGAATGGATCAAACAATCATGGAACCAGAAAGAATTCTTTTTGCTGCCAAGCAAGGGTCGGTTTGCGGAGTTAGTTATGCGCAGTGTTCATGGTGAAGATCATGCAGGATTGGAGGTGACGTTAGCAAAAATCAGAAGCAGATATTTTTATTCCCGGAGATGGAAAAATCATAAGACGAGTGAAGGATAACTGTGTTGTGTGCAGAAAGCGGAATAAAGTAACAATACAACAACAGATGGGTGTTTTACCTTCATTCCAACTGAATCCAGCACCTCCATTTTATAATTGTGCCGTCGATATGTTTGGACCATATACCATACGTGACACAGTCAAAAGACGAACACATGGAAAGGTATATGGGGTATTGTTTTAATTGCCTCAATTGCAGGGGTGTGTACATCGATTTGGCGGAAGGTTACGACACAGGAAGTTTCCTTGTTGTATTCAAGAGATTTGTATCACTTCATGGCAATCCAAAGCGAATGATTTCTGATGCAGGCACACAGCTAGTTACTGCAGGCAAGGGATTGGATAAGTTTGAAGTAGAATGGAATGTCTTAAAATCTACAGATGCTCCATGGGAGAATGGTTGTAGTGAATCCTTAATCAACTCTGTAAGGCGCTGTCTGCAAATTGCTGTTGGGGATTTATTTTTAACGTTTTCAGAGTTGCACACTGTGTTGTTTGAAGCTGCAAATTTAATAAATGAGAGACCTATCGGGACCAAGGTGTGTGACCAAAACGAAGGAACATACTTATGCCCGAATGATTTGCTGTTAGGGAGATCCACTGTTCGGGTTCCTCAGATGCAAATGGAAGAACGTTGCAATCCATTATTGAGATGGAAATTCATTCAACAGCTGCTTGATACCTTTTGGAAAAGATGGATTAGAGATTACTTTCCCACTCTTATTGTGAGACAGAAGTGGCATACAAGCAGGAGAAATCCGAAGCAGGGTGATCTTGTGTTAGTTCAGGATACAAATCTAATTCGTGGAAAGTGGAAACTTGCTAAAATTGCCGAGGCAGAGCCTGGAACAGACGGAAAGGTACGAGACGTCACAGTGCGATACAAGAACGTGGGGCTAGGTGCAAAGTATGACGGGTGTACTGACACTGTCATTCGCAGATCTGTTCATAGACTTGTAGTTATACTACCAGTGGATGAATGAGATTAGTTGTGAACTTGTCAAGAAACGTCGGTGGGAGTGTATCGTTAACGATATTCCGGAACTTTTAGAGTCGGACATTATTTTTCATTGTTAACAGTCAACGGAAGTTTGTTTTGTTTACCTCGTGGATAGACGATCCTGTGTTTGTGACATTATAGCTCAGTAATATTAATTTTGGATCCATCAATGTGTGAGTAGACACTGTTTTTGTGACTAACGCGAAGTACGGACCAATGATTCTATATAGATTTGTAATTATTGTGTTGTTAAATTATACAGTGGCATTCAGTATAACCCCCACTGCTCTGAAAAATCTACGGAACGACGTTATCATCATAATTTGATTATATTTTGTTTTATTATAAATTCAGGTTGAAACATTGGAATCGTTACGACAGGTGGTTTAACTTGTTACTGATGTAAGCCAATGACAACTCTTTTGTCGATTTCAAAAGTTTATTAAATAATTCCAATTTACAATTTTTCCGTGATCGTATAGTTTTAGAAATATTCGTTCCTGAAATATGATCAGAAAAGACCAATACACTTTTTATATAACTGTCCAAAGGGTCCGTCCAAAATATACAGAGCTGAAGACTGAACTCTCAATAAATAGATAAACAAAAGTCCAAAAAAATTATTCCCAAAAATAGATTAAGAGAGAGTTGAATTTAGGAATAAGACCAGGAATGCTCTTTTCTGTCCAAAACAGGGTATTTTGTGCTAAGTGGGTATCCATGATCCCGGATATAAAAATACATTTCATTGGTTAATTCACCATCACTAATCACCTTCGCTTTGTCCGTATGCCTGTCCGTTGACCTATGAACCCCAACATGGCACCACCCTCAAATGTAGGTAAATGGATTTTACTGATATTTATGGGCTCAGTCCCCATCTCTGCACCACAGGAGTTCTAGCCTTAAGCTCTCTTACTTATTTACTTCAGAGTTCCCAATTTTATTGCTCTTAGTCAAAACTCTTAATAAAACCATTGTATTTCCGTTCAAATTGTATTACTTATTATCGATGGACTTGATTGGTCTATTCGGATCAATTTCATTACAAAATGATCTACCAAATTATAGTGCATTCGAACAACAACAAAATCCAATTTGTTTTGAGAAGATGATAATTGTTTACAAACTAAAAGTCCTTTTTCCAATTAAAAAGTCACCGAATCTGCGTCACTAATAATATGCATTCTGATTTAATAAACCTTTATATCAATTTATTTTCACTGCTAAAAACAAAAAAATGATAATGATATTAATATTGTCTAAGTTTAAAATGTTCAAACAATATGTCTGTGCTAAACCCTATAGGTTTACGTTCGTCCCCACACACTAAGAAATTTCCCTGTCCAGTGGAAATTTCTACGTTAGATCCGGAACATAATTTTAAACTTAGTCACAGTTTATTTCGTTCACAAGGTAAGGATTAATCCCGCGACACTGTTCACTTTTTATTAAACAAAATCCACAGTCTTCGAAGATAATCTAGTCACGATTTCTTTATTGTTAATTGCATACGGTAGTCACACAGCATAGGAAGTTCGCGGACGTCTTCTTCTTGTTCCCGAAATAATGTCCAATATATACGGTTACATTGATTATATAGGTCCATTATATGTATCCAATATATGTTTACCTAACAACTCTACGTGGAAATATGGTTTTACTACTGTTCACTACTGGCGCCTTCACTACTCCTCACTAAACTTGTTCGCTTTGGAATCAATGTTCTCATTCCACACTTAGTATAGATCAAAATTTAGCTACATTCCACACTAATAAAAGTAACATAGGTCACCGTGTTAATTTTGAAGTTCACGCAGCGGATACAGTCCTGTCGATTTAGTAGATGACGGAGTGCAATTATCACCACTCAATACAATAGTATCGTCCTTCAAATTAGAAGCCATCAGCGTATCCCGTACTTTTAAATTTTGAGTCCAATAGTTAAGTCCGAAATTTAAAAAACGTTTTTGTTCTTCAACGTCAGAATTTGTAATTGACTTATTAATTCTTGATACATCCATTCAAAAGTACAACACAAATCAGCAAACATCATTAGTCACCAACGTTTTCTTCATCTGTAAGTATCTCAAAATGACTGCTATCACCTGTCGTATTCCTCATTTCCACGACTTCTCGTGATATCCACAGTCGATATTCTCAAAAAATAAACACGGTACTATCCCTTTCACAATCGCATCCTCACAGCGAATTTAACTCAGGATTAGTACAAACACTTATGACGGCCCATTAACACTGGGTCAGACGTAATCACCGTCCTTGGTATCAGACCAACGACATATTTTAAAATAAATGCCTCAAAGTTAGTCCACGATAAATCCCAACGTATTGTTTGATTCAGTGTTGCACCTTTCTCGAGATTTCAAAACTTCAAATCAAATCCAGTCAATTTTCAAATTCAATGATTTAAAAAATGTGACAAATCTGACGTGAACTTCATTACCATTTTCTCCTGCCTGTCTATTTTAAGAAGTTGCTCTATAATTTCTCTTCTTTTTTAAACAACATTGATTACAAGCGAACTACCATTACTGCAAATGTACAAAATTATTAAATGCCTTCCTTGTGTAGAAATTCAATATCAAGATGATTTTTTTTTAATTTTCCAAATATCATTTACTTTTTATTCTTTGTAACAAGGAATAAATACTACAATATAAAGTTTTTTTACTTTACATAAAATTTCAGATGTTCCCTTCATTTTTGAAACTTTTCCTGAATAAATTAAAAATATTCTTTAAAGCAAACCAAAGCAAGAAGCCAAAAATATTTCGGAAAAATCAAATTAAAAAATCAAAACATGGTCAGGCTACAGATACTTCTGGGTTAGAAATTTACGTCCTACCTTGCCACATTTTCCCTCCGCGTTTGACATTTTAGTTATACTTCGCATCGCCTAGGTAGTTAGTAGCGAATCGACTTCGTAATATTTTTCCATGCCTGGTTCCGAGCATTAACTTAATTCACAGTCCTTTTTTTCAGTTTGATCACAAACGTTAACTGATTTACAGTACTTCGCAAATCCTGGTCAACGAGCACCAAATTGACTTCTACGATGTAAGGTATTGACAACTCTTTTGTCGATTTCAAAAGTTTATTAAATAATTCCAATTTACAATTTTTCCGTGATCGTATAGTTTCAGAAATATTCGTTCCTGAAATATGATCAGAAAAGACCAATACACTTTTTATATAACTGTCCAAAGGGTCCGTCCAAAATAAAAAGAGCTGAAGACTGAACTCTCAATAAATAAATAAACAAAAGTCCAAAAGAATTATTCCCAAAAATAGATTAAGAGAGAGTTGATAATTTAGGAATAAAACCGGGAATGCTCTTTTCTGACCAAAGCAGGGTATTTTGTGCTAAGTGGGTATCCATGATCCCGGGTATTATAATACATTTCAATGGCTAATTCACCATCACTAATCACCTACGCTTTGTCCGTATGCCTGTCCGTTGACCTATGAACCCCAACATGGCACCACCCTCAAATGTAGGTAAATAGATGTTATTGATATTTATGGGCTCAGTCCCCATCTCTGCGCCACAGGAGTTCTAGCCTTAAGCTCTCTTACTTATTTACTTCAGAGTTCCCAATTTTATTGCTCTTAGTCAAAACTCTTAATAATACCATTGTATTTCCGTTCAAATTGTATTACTTACTATCGATGGACTTGATTGGTCTATTCGGATCAATTTCATTACAAAATGATCTACCAAATTATAGTGCATTCGAACAACAACAAAATCCAATTTGTTTTTACAAGATGATAATTGTTTACGAACTAAAAGTCCTTTTTCCAATTAAAAAGTCACCGAATCTTCGTCACTAATAATATACATTCTGATTTAATAAACCTTTATATCAATTTATTTTCACTGCTAAAAACTAAACATGATTATGATATTAATATTTTCTAAGTTTAAAATGTGTCTGTGCTAAACCCTATAGGTTTACACTGAGCTATACAGGTAATACAATTTTACAAGAATATGTTAATAGTATTATATTAGTATTCAATTAAATTCAATTATATTTCATTCATACCCTTACCCTTTACAGATTTTTAGGTTAGGATGGGACTTAAATCGTCTCATAATAAAATGCATGAATTTACTTACAATCCAAGAAACAATGTAGTTTTGATATCGAAAAGTTTTTTTATTGTTTGCTACGATATTTTTTATTCTAGTTCGTAAAAAAGAACATTTTCGTTTTATTCAAAATTATTCTTCATGTCAAAATACACATAATCCTATTAAAATCAAATCCTTATTATTCAATAGATTCAAGATTCCATCTTCAATATCGTGTTTTCCGAAATAACTTGAATGCTATTACTTCACGAAGTTTTCCCTGTAGTGCTGCTATCAACGATTTCGCTTCGAATGTAATATATCATTATTCAAATCATTAATTTACAATACATGTTTTGTTGAACTTAAAATATATACAGTAATTTAATTATACCATGTGTACCTTGATCTGAAATGGAGAGAACTAATAAAGGCCCTTGGCCTGCTGTTCAATCCATATTCATATTGTACTCTTTGTATATTATGAATAAAATACTTCTTAAACTAAAACATTGGAAAAATAACTATTCTCGAAAGGAATAGAAGTGTTGAGTCAGATAGAAAGAAAAACACCTCTAATCACGTTGACTTGTTTATCTAGACTGATCATTTGAACATTGCAATACATTGACGTTACCATTACGTCATAATTAAGATGACGTCATAATAGAAACATTTACTTAATGTCACATGCACTTTAACGTCACATATAGGAAGATTATCATCAATATACTCCGGGCCGCAAAATGTCAATAATCACAATTACAATAATAGAAAGTTCATATTTCGCGTTGTGTTTTACAAAAAAAAAATTAATTGGAAAGTCTTTCACTCCTCCTCACTTTGGAATCTGACTCGTTTAGCTCAAGGGGATATAATTTCGT